GGAAATGTTGGCAGTTTTCTCAAAAAATGCTTGAATTCAAGAAGTTTTAGATTTGCGTGGTTTTTTGCCATTTTCAATCATCCGTTCAGAGCGAGGAATTGCTACTCACATCGAAAGACATCATAAATCAGTGAATAGACTCGTCGCATCTCCTGTTCATCGTCAAAATCAACATGTTGAGGAGGAATCGTCAACAAGCAACCGGCCTTTGAAATGTCCCCAACCGTCCACGTTATCGGGGCTAAATAATTCTTCCTTCTCCGACTTCCCGGAGTTGGGGGCTCGGGGGTGCAAGCTGGGGTCGCTGCTTTGGGCAAAATATTCCATTCGTGCAGTTTGCTACTGTTGGGCTGCTCTTCTTCTAAAACCATTCTGAAAAGAACATACAAAYCWCGTCTCTGATGAGCTGGCGATCGGAGAGCGCCTGATCTCTATTAATCTACGCACCTACTGATTTAGGGATCGCAACTTGAAATTTTCTTGGAACTKGGCTTTTTGACACTGATGTCCCTAATACCGGGTGTCCAGCCGTAACCTGGCCATAGCGAAAAACCTAAGTTGAGCTTCCTTTTCTGCAGCTTCCGTTAAATAAAGATGCGAGCTGTTCTGCTGCCTCAAAGGCTCAGTTCCCTACTCACTCTCCCTATAGAGTATCGCAATCAATCCTGATCTTTTCTCCGAATAACGTTAGTCACCGCAAAGTCAACTTTGCCCGACATTGGCAGTCAAAATATGAAATTTCCTGTGCATTTCCCGACGTACTCTTCCAAATCGACCGACTGTTGAATATGATTGAGCAGGCGATCGGCGACAATTTCAACGAACCTGTTCAACCATGTCCAACTAAGCATCCCTGGTTCCACTCGATCATTAAGACCCTGAAGCGATACAAGTCCGAACTGTTCGGAGCTGGAGATTCCGACATGAAGAAGCAACGAGCTCGGGATTACACTGTGCAGCCGACCATCCAGTTCGTGCTTGCAAAGTACTCAGACGGCTGCTTCCGGCCCGGCTGTATAGCGGGAAGAAGCAGGAAGCGGCAGCTGTTTGTGGTGCAATTCTACCACACCAAAAAGTGCCTCTACGTGAAGCCAACCGATGTGATCATGAAGCATGGCAACCTTTTGAATGCGAAAGTGTCCTTCATGCAGCATGGCAAGGAGCTGATGGGCAAAGTGTACGGGAACAATTCGCCGGCCAATAAAGGGTTTCCTTCGGTCTTTTTCATAAAGAACAGCAACTGTTGGCACAAGATTTCCTTCAAATGGATTTTCCTCACTAAAAAGCAACTGAACAAGTTCAGGCAAGCCATTGTGCAGTCGGGCAAAGGCCGGCACAAATGCGCGGAAGATCCGGACGCCTCGATGATGGAATGCGATCTTACAGCCCTTCAGGAGAGCGACAAGGATATGCAGGAACTTGATGCCGACTTTGAAATGTCTTGATGCATAGTCAGTGTGTTTGAACTACTTTTTTTCATTTTTTTTCACGTTTTTCATCAAGTCATCACTGTTTTTGTGCATGAACTAACCAAGACCTGGTTCTGGTCTGATACCATTTTGTAAAAATGATCAAAGTAATCTAGGAGAATAAAATAAATGTTACCAATGATTTATTTTGCTGCCTGCGTGTACTTGTTATGATATTCTTACCTTTCCTGGGTTTAATTTTGAACATCGTTCATTTCATTACGTTTCGGCGAGACAACAGCGCCTTCATCAGATTTAAAATTTACACGAACTCATGATTGGTAAAATCAACGTTCTTTTGTACCGTAATAAAGAGACAAATTTAAGGTTTCAAGAAGGCAAAGACCTAAAAGAACGTTGATTTTTACCAATCATGAGTTTGTGCAAATTTTAAATCTGAT